CTAAATACTGCAGCTTCTCCTCGCTTCTCTTGGATGACTCTGTCTTGGGGATGCCATGTTGGGAGGGCATTCAAGGGGCTCTATAAAGAGGCTGGCAAGGAGACCTGCCAACAGCCAGACCTGCCAACAGCCAGACCTGCCAACAGCCAGACCTGTCAACAGCCAGACCTGCCAACAGCTAGACCTGCCAACAGCCAGACCTGCCACAGCCAGACCTGCCAACAGCTAGACCTGCCAACAGCCAGACCTGTCACAGCCAGACCTGTCACAGCCAGACCTGTCACAGCCAGACCTGCCAACAGCCAGACCTGTCAACAGCCAGACCTGCCAACAGCCAGACCTGCCACAGCCAGACCTGTCACAGCCAGACCTGCCAACAGCCAGACCTGTCACAGCCAGACCTGCCACAGCCAGACCTGCCAACAGCCAGACCTGCCAACAGCCAGACCTGCCAACAGCCAGACCTGCCAACAGCCAGACCTGTCACAGCCAGACCTGTCACAGCCAGACCTGTCACAGCCAGACCTGTCACAGCCAGACCTGTCACAGCCGTGACTTAGCCATCTCAGAGGTGCATCACCTGGACAGTCGAGTCTTCAGATAAGACTGTAGCCCAGGCTGCCATCTTTGTTGCTGTGGGTTGTTTTTGTTTTTGTTTTTTGTTTTTTGAGACAGGGTTTCTCTGTGGCTTTGGAGGCTGTCCTGGAACTCACTTTGTAGACCAGGCTGGCCTCGAACTCACAGAGATCCGCCTGCCTCTGCCTCCCGAGTGCTGGGATTAAAGGCGTGCACCACCAACGCCCGGCGGGTTGTTTTGTTTTGTTTTGTTTTGTTTTGTTTTTGAGACAAGGTCTATGTGGCCCTGTCTGGCCCTGGGCCCTGAACTCAACATGTAACACAGGCTGGACTCAAATTTAGAGCTCCTCTTGCCTCTGCCTCCTGAGTATTGGGATTAAAGATATTCACCACTACTCCCAGTGATTCAGGCTGCTGTCTTGATGGCCATTTAATGATAGATCCCCATGTGGATTGCCAGGGCACCCATTCCAGAGTTCATGGCTCAAAGAAAAAAAAACGAATGTTTGAAGTTTGGGATATCATTTGTTACACGGCTATAGATAAATAACTATAACACATGGCTGCAATTTTAAGTTACAAGAGGAACTGCTGAAGGGGAAAGTTATTCTCCATCATCCCCTTGGCTTGTTTTGTGTCTCCAGGGAGTCACACAACTTTGGAGCGTCTTTTTCTCATGTATAACGTGGGGATAATGCTGACCTTTCAAGACAGGCCATGCATTTAAAGCCATCAGCTCTTGTGGATGGCATATAGCAAGGGTTTACTGGGTAGAGGAGGGAGCCTCCCTTTTCCTCCCTAGCTTATTATATTAACATGGCCATTGCACAGACAGAGTCATTCCAAGTTTGTCTCACAGTGAGTGCGTCAGGAATTGATGTAACTAAGAGCTGAAAAGCCCTGGGCCTGCCTCAAGATGGATGGATGGATGATGGATGGATGATGGATGATGGATGGATGATGGATGATGGATGGATGGATGGATGATTGAATCCTTTGAGTTTGGAGACTAGGATGGTGATACCAGATCTCATGCAACCTACTGAGTTTACACTTTTGTTATCTCTATGCTTGGAGCTGGGGGAAGCCCTCCCTGAGCTCACACAAAGAGGAAGGACTGGAGTCTGCATTCATACCCGGGCCAGCATGCATGCAGAGGCTGGATGTGAGAGCTGTCTCCAGCTGGAGGAGCCTAACTGAGAAAACACTGTCTTCAGGCAGTATCAAATCATCTCTCAGATCAGGCAAGAAACCCCAATTAATTACAAGTGCTAAGTGAATGGTGTAGAAGCTGGGCTTTGCAGTCAATTAGTGAGAGATTGAAGGAGGTTTCATTAACCCTCTACCTCCCGGCAGTTTTTAGTTTATAGAAAGAAGGCAGATTTTTGAACTAGAGTGAGTTCCAGGACACCATGGGGCGTACCAACACAAGAGTATCCCAACCAAGAGTGGCCCAGAGGGAGTCCTGAATACATGGCGAATGCGTTTGAATTTAATCCCTCTGTCTTCTTGACCTCAAGGACTTTTGGACCTGCTGTGAAGTCAGCGGTCAATGTCCTTTCCATCTGGGGTACTAGGCCATGCAAAATACTATTTGTGCTTACCATGAGTAAGTCAGCCCAGCATGGAGCAGGGACTACCCAGTGGACCCTACCCAGGTACCCAAACCCAGGACACCCAAACTCGACCTTCCTCCAAACTTGACCACACCCACAGTGTTCCATATCCTGGGGAGCTCCGCCATCCAAGGCAGAGACACAGGTCCTGGTCTAGATGCCGCCTCCTCCTCCACGCTCTGCAGTGCGGTCCTGTCCATTCGCTTTCCGGTGTATCCCTTCATTCTGCTGCTTCATCACACGCTTTCCTCGATGGTGAAGGTCAGGCCGCACCCCCTCCTACCTCAACACTGCACTATCTCGTCCCTGGGCTCTGGCTTTCCAGCCTCTTGCTTCCAAGCTGAGAAGACATTCCTCTGTCTGTATCTCAGTTCAGTGCCTTTCAGTGGCCCCTGGTGGCCAGCGGGTAGAGCCCAAATTCTATTGCTCGGCACCACATGTGCTATGGCCAGACTCGGTTTTTACCAACAGCTCAGTCACCTCTGACAGACGTCTCTCACCCTCTCTTGCTCTCTCCTGTATGGAACAGCTTTAGTCCCCACACCCCCCTTGCCTTTGCTCTTGGGATCTGGAGTGCACTTTCTCCACTAAGCTGTTTCCTCCTCATTTTAGACCCATTTCAGTTGTTGCCTCCACCAAAGGCCTAAGAATACTTGGGTATGCTGTGGTGGGAAATTGTCTCTTCCTTTGCAAGTAGTTTTCTAGCTAGGTCGGGCTGTGTGGCTGGTGGCCTTGGTGCCTAGTACAGTGCCAATCACATAGCAGATGTTGATTTAACTAAGAGGATTGAGCTGCTTAGGAGAAAAACTTTAGGGTTCACAGGAGGGTGGTAGTGTTTGCCTACCAGGGCTCAGGTGCGCTGGGGCCCGCTGTAAGGAAAAGGGAGGAGAGGGGCATTGACTGTCTTGTTGTGACTAAGCTGTCATGAAGCTGGGTTAGGGTGCAGTGTCTTGTGTGACTGGCAGAATCCACCTCTTGGTGGACTCCCAGGGAATTCTGAAGTCCTCATTCTCTGTCTTTCCCATGGTCTGGGCTGAACTACACCAGGACCTCACCAGTAGCCGCTGCTCCTCTGTGAGACATCTTTATCTCCTGAGACTCCGTCTGCAAAGGTCTGAGGAAGGAAGGTTGTGGGCTTGTCAGTGTAGGAAGAACTTGTAATTGCTTCTAGCCAACAGCACATGACACATCCTTCTGCAATTAGGCGATATAAAACCGTGGCTTCCATTTTGCTAGCAGACTCATCTAGAGTTACCTTGGCTTGCACACTGGGGTAGAATAAGCTTCATGTTGTGAGCTGCCTCAATGGAGGGGCCCACATGGCAAGGAACAGAGGGCATTCTCCAGCCAACATCCACCAATTGCATCCTTCCAGCAGCTGTGTGAGCTTGGGAGCGAGCCTTGCTCAGCTGAGCCTTCTGATGAGGACCCCAGCCCTGGCACGCACTTTGCTAGCATCCTCCTGAAGACTTGAGAGCAGAGAATCCAGCTAACCTTGTGCCCCGACTCCTGACCTGTCACAGACACTGGGGGTTAACAAATTTGTTGCTTTTATCGAGATTGCAGTTGTAGAGGAGATATGGGTATTCACATACCTTAAACAGAGTTTACAGTGCTAGTCTAGGAGTGCTTGGTAGTCAATGATAAGGGCATGTGTGCAAAACGCTACATGCTCCTTACAGCGGTGGAGGTTAGAATAATTATTATCATTCCATTTCCCTTGTGAGAAGATGCTCACAGGGGTTAAGTATCTTGCTCAAAATCACTCTGCTCGGTGGCAGTGCCTGTCTGAATGCTCAAGGCTTTTATTGCAACACAAAGCCGTGACGCTTTGTGTAACAGACTCTGCTCCAGTCAAGAGACAGGCAACTCTATCAGTGGGTAGTGCAGAGGGGAGTGACATGAGCTACATCCTGAGAAGTGTGAGGATTGCCAAGGGTACAAGAATGGGCGAGGGGTAATTTATGCAAATGTGATGTAGCATTGAATAGGGGCTCTTGGAACACCGAGGTGCTTGTGGCTCTGTCTTAGCAGTTTGGAGTCACTGGAGTCATACCACACAGGGCCATTTTGATCATCGTGATGGTGTTCACCAAGTAGATACCATCCTACAGGCAGGTGGAAGGCGCTGGGCATGGAGTGACATGATGACGTTTGCATTTTAGATAGACTCTCGGGAGCTGGGGCTGGGGGAAGGATGCAGAGAAGGGAGGAGGTAGGACAGTGTGTGGGGAGAAAGACCCATGCATGACAGTAGGAAGTGCTGAGAAGCCAGAGAGAAATGGGCCTCACCGCAGTCCCGTCTGAAGTGGGGGCATGGAAGCCAAGGGGGTCCTATCCTGAGCCTTGACAAGCTGTGTCTGCATCCAAGAGGAATGCTGAGTGCTGTTCTCTCTGTGTTCCCAGCCTCCCACAAGCCTCCCAGGCTCAGAAGGGAGTAGACGCCCCATCTGTGTTGTGGAATGAACTACTGACAGACATTTGCCCATCTATTGTGTTCATGGTGCTCTCAGGATGCCACACCTCAAGGAGCTGGTGGAGAAGGGAAGCCCACACTAGGACTCCAGGGTTAGCCTGCACAGCCCCTCCTCTGGGGTCATAGAGTTGGCTTCCAGAGGCAGAGTGATCCTGGAACTTGGGCCAGCCCTAACTTTGGCCTCCACTGATTTCGGAGGTCATTTTCCCGGCGTCCTGGCCGGAAGCTGGGCGTAAGACACAGGGCGTTTTGGGGCATCTTGAGCCGTCTGTGCTGGCTGTCTCCTGTTACTGGTGGTGCTAATGAACAGAAGAGGGTAGACAGATGGAAACTGCTGTACAAGGCTTTTTCTTTGTTGTCATGGTTGGTTTTGTACATCTTACCATTTGCATCGTACAAAGTGGGGAGCACAGCCATGGCTTTTGGTCAGACTCAAGGGAGTGCAGGGAGGGGGTGGCCCTCCCTTCCCCCAGATACCGACACATTGAAAGGAAGCAGAGCAACGAGGACAGAGCACAGTTGTGGGAAAGGGGTTCCCTCACATGAGCAGGATGGTCCATCTCACCTGGGTCTCGGTAGAACTCCCCACCCCCATCCTGGGGCCAGGAGGAGCACCTCTGTTCTCTCCTTGGTGAAAAGGGGAGGGCAACAGGAATGGGGAATAGAGCAGGGACATTTGCTGGGCGGTATACCCTTAGACCTGGGATGTACCCCCAATGGGAGCCAGTCTGACCCCCAGGCCTCCCAGCACAGCCGAAGGCTGGCTAAACCCTAGAAAGATGGAACAGGATGATGTGGGTGGGCATTTGCTAGCTGGCGCTAGCCCTTGAGGCTGGAGATCCCACGCCATCCTTATTCCAGTCACAGGTCTTTAGGACGGCTGCTTTGCCCACAGCCACCCCACGTGTGACGGGGCCCTGGGCTGCAGCATTGTCTCTTCCTGCTCCCTCATTTTCTCTCTCTTCCATGCCTGGGATGGCCTACGGACCTCTCAGCTCCACTGAAGGAGGCACTCATTGAAGCTCCACTGCAAGGACTCCCTTTTTCAGTGCTTTGGGGCCGATGTGGAGGATATGCACTTTGGAAACCCTGTGTCATCTCCAGAGAGTCCTCTGCCTCCTTCTCTCTGATGCTGACTCCCAGGCGCAGGAGCCTGGTTGGCAGCTTTCTTTCCCCGAGAGTGCGCATGCCTGTGTCAGCAGTGCACCTCATTCTGTCTCCAGCCATGTACTGTGTGTGTGTGTGCACACGCGTGCGCACGTGTGTGTATGTGTGTGCATGTGTGTGCACGTGTGTGCACGTGTGTGCACGTGTGTGCACGTGTGTGCATGTGTGTCCATGTGTGGACTCTGGAGCCTCTTTTCACTTGCATGTTATGATTCCTGTTGGATGTGCGCATCTGTTTATTCTGCGGGGGATACACACACAGCTCCTGCTCTAGGCACATCAGGTGAACAGACACTCTTTATCCTGATCAAGTGCCCAAGTTTTGTCCTCCCGAGAATGTCGTACATAGGATTCTTTAAGGGTCACCCATTGCTTTCTCCCCATAGTCAGGTCTGTGTCAGACATGTCAATCTTTATATCCCCTGGGCTTTGTGTGGGTGGAACCAGATATACACCAAGCAGAAATTCTCTCTCTTGCTTACACCCCCAGGTAGTGAGAGATCCACCCCACCCACACCTGCAGCGCTGACCATGCCCAAAAACACCCCCCAAAGACCTCAGAATCTGCCGTCTGGGCATGGAAAAGAGGAGACTTAGACCTCGACTAAGCCAGCTCAGCCTGAGGACTGTGGGTGGGGATGAAAAGCTCCAAGCCCACTCTGGGTACCCAGAGGGGCCATGGAAACCACCAAGGACACCAGCTGAAGGGTCCGGGTTCCCGCAGGCCCATGTGGGCTGTCTGGCATGGCTGGGTTTTCTTGCTTATCTGCAGGTCCTTGGGTCTTGGTCTCTACTGCCATGTGGTGCTCTGTGCCCTGCTGTCCTCCTTGAGGTCTAAGGGTCCCTGTCAAGGGGACAGCCTTTCTTAACACTGGTATCCATCCTTGTGTTCTGGTGGGAGTCTTACTCAGGGTTTAGGGAGGTCTGGGGTCCCTGGCCTGGTCCCTGCCTGTCTCTGGCCCAGGACCCCAAGGCTCTTGAGAATGACCATCCTGCCCAGGATAGAAGACAGAAACAAGCAGACAATAGGGGTGCAAGATGGCTCCCCATCACAGACATAGACACAAACACTGGCCCCTGTGGAAAGACACAGGGGTACAAGAGGGTGGGGGAGAAGGGTAAGTCCCAGGAGCCGGAGCTGCCAAGGCCCTGCTCCTTAGAGAAGGGACAGACCAGGGGACTTTTCTGGTTCCCTAAACATATGGATTGTTTAGTCTCCTCTTGAAAGTATTGCGGTCTAACTGATATGGCTTTAACTATTGGAAACGGACAGGAAGACACATGTCTTCTCTGAAATAAAAGCGAAAGTCCACTAAAATGGAAAACCTGCAGAATGCAACAGGGCCAGTGGGACAGAGGCTTTTGGAGGGGGCAAGTCGCCCTCTCCTGGGCCCCTGCTTTTGGGATAGGCCCTGGTGGGGGCCCAGCATGGCTTCCTGGGGCACTGCCTGGGTCTGTCCCAGCAGAATTCTGAGGACCTCAGGTAGGAAACCCCCAAGGGTAGGAGGACTCTAGGCCAAGGGTAAGGTCTCCTGTCAGATGTGGCCACCTGTAACTAATGGGAGGGGGCATCTTACTCCGGTTCTTGCTGTCCAAGCACAGACATGCATACAACTGCCTGTTATAGACCCACACACATGATCACCACCAGTCTTGGCCCACCTGACAGTTCTCTCAAACACACATTTCTGCATCTTACATGTAACCATCACTCTTGACACACATGCCATTTTGAAAATACATGCATATACAAGCTAACACATGCAATCTTTAAACACGGGAGATGGCAGGCACACACTGAGAACATAATTGAAACTCAGGCACACCACGGCCCACAAACACATATACACATTGTACATCATATGAACAATCTCTAGCACAGAGGTATGATGACTAACACACACATGCAATCTCAAGACACCACACTCTAACCGTACATAGATGCATGATGGGGTTTGCCACATGTTATCTGATGTGTGTGTGTGTGTGTGTGTGTGAACTCACACATTCATCCCTCTTTTGCCCCTCCTCCTCCATCCCTGCTCCATTTCTACACAAGTCACAGAGCAGGCAGCCTCAACAACGCAGGCTGTGAGGGCAGATGGCAACCCTATACATCTCAAAGGAGAGCTGATTCTTGGCCAGTGGGATGAATGGACAGTCTCTTGTCAGGTGGGAATTGGCCTTTCCCCAGCTGCTTGGGGCTTTGACCAAGAAGGGTCCTCCTGGGGACAACAGGGGCTTGGAAGCACATGGACAGGACATGGAAGGGGAGAAAGGTGGATAGGAATGGGGGCAGTTTGGCTGTACCAATGACGGGTCCTATGGCACAGACCATCACTGCCCGATGGCTCCAAGTATTTTCTGGGGGCCTGGGCAGCCCCTTGGCTGGGCAAACTGGGGCCTAGCCTGGCAGTGGGGTCCCAGGGCCTAAGTCAGATGAGGGGGAATAAGGGGTTGCCTTGCCCTGGGCTCTCCACAGGTGTGCTAAAGTCCAAAGAGGGTTCATTTGGAGGGAGCAGCTTGGCAGGGGCCCTGCTGTTTTAGGTAGGGGTTGGGGAGAGAGGTGTGCTCCTGGGTTGGTATCACCAGGAAGAGGGGGAGAGGACAGCCCAAGTCTCTTGCCCAGACTCTAACCTGGGCAGACCCAGCTAGAGCCTCTCAGGGCTAGGCTCTCTTGGGGCAGGCTCACTGTGAACAGCCTTCCTCAGAGCCAGGCCACTCAGTGCCCCTGCCCTGCCCTGGACTCCCACTGGGCATTTAGAGGCCAAGGGTCAGCATGCTGGGCAGGGCTGGAATGTGTCATTACTTTGGCTGGCTGGGGACAGTGGTCCTCCTGGCAGTGGGGAGCATGAAGGAATGTATGGGGGGAAATGCCACACTAACATAGATCTTGGGCTTCTGGAGGGGCACCCAGTGCCTTTGGTTCTGGGTTCAAAGCCCCCTTCTGGAGTAAAGCTGTCTTCCTTTTTCAAGCTATTTGGGAGTGAAACAGGACTAGGAACCATGGGAGGAAGGGAGGGTAAAGGAGAACAGAGGGGAGGTACCCCTGGCTAGGGAAAGGGGGCAGAGGCCAACTGAGGTTTTCCCCTTTGGAACTGATACTTAACTGAATAAAAAGAAAAGAAAGACCACCACCAACAAAAAAGTCATAAGGTGGATGGGGCAGGAGGATGGGTTACTTCTTGAACATGTCCTGCAGCGGCCCGGGCAGGTATTTGAGCACTGTGTCCAGGATGCTCTCCTCTTCCTCCTCCTCCTCATCCCCACACCCGGCAGGGATGGCTTTTTTGGGTCGGGTCAGGCTTCCCTCACAAGGCTGTTCCAACGCTGCCTTTTCCTCCGCCTCCTTCTCTTCCTTCTTCTTCAGCCCATACTGGGGAAGAGAGAGACAGGGCAGACTTGAGTCACAGGAAGGAGAAGGTTGACTTTCTCACTCGTTCAGACTTGGGGGACGGGTCTCAGCAGCACTTTTTAACTCTCCAGGAAAGCTGCCTTCCCTGGAGACCTGAGCCCGGTTCTTAGTAGATGACTAACATAAAAGACCATGCCTTAAGCCTGATGGTGGTGGCAGCTCACGCCTTTAATTCCAGCACTTGGGAGGCAGAGGCAGGCAGATCTCTGTGAGTTCAAGGCCAGCCTGGCCTACAAAGTGGGTTCCAGGACAGCCAGGACCGTTACACAGAGAAACTCTGCTTCCAAAACCAAATCAAAACATAAAAAAGACCATGCCTCAGTTTCTTTTAAAATTAACACTTATTGTTAATGCCCCTTTGTCCCTTTGGAGTCCCCCGAGTTGTCTTTCTATGTTCTGACACTTTCTATTTTGCGACACAGCTGGCTGACCCCAGGCTCCTTGCTGTGTTATCTTGCAGCATGGTGCTATCAGACAAGCACTAAATGTATAACGTAGGTAGACAGCTCCATACCTGGTGGTCAGTGCACCTTGCAAAGTTTCTCTACTATGTACAGGTTCTGAATTCCTCTTATATTTGGTCCCAGGGGCTCTGGCAGGCATGTTGGGCCTGCTGCATCTCCTGTAAACTCACATAGTTACTGCACAATCCTCGAGGGCATGCTCCAAAGACACCCATTTTCCTGATGAGAGTGAGGCTCAGAGAGACCTGGGTCTGAGATGAGAGCTGGGGTTCAGGGGAGTCAGAGGAGGCGGGGCTCTCAGGGGATGCTGACCTTGTCTCGGATCTGCTGCCGGACCTTCTCGCGCTCGGCTTCCATGCGCGCATGCTTGGCCTTGCGCTCCTCCTCCTGCTGCCGGAGGGCCTCCTGCCGCTCCTCCTCCTTCTTCTGCGCGTCAGGGTCCTTCTCCTCCTCTCCCCCCCAGCATCTTCCCCATGTCCTTGGTGGCCCCTGCGGGGATGTGGAGAGGTTGTGGTCAGTTGGGGGAGAGAAGGCAGTGGTTCGAGGTCCCCTTTCTCCTGGGTCAGGGGTGATGGGGGAAGGTGGCGGGGGGGAAGGTGGTGGGGCTCACCTCCGAGGGCTTGCTTCATGACGAAGTCCATCCTGCAGGCTTTGGTTAGTGCTTCCTAGCCCGCGGCTGAATTTGCATTCGATACTTCAGGCTGGTCTGCCTCCGGGAAATGAGCCCACCTGCAAAAGAGGATGGGGAGGGGGTCAGTCGGAAAGTTCTCTTCCACGGCAAGGTAGCCTTATTCACGGGGCATGGCCAACTGAGGATAGGGCTCAATGCCCTGCTAGGAAGAAAGAGGAGATGGAAGGGATGTATTTACTGCGCATGTGTTATGGGCCAGGCATGGATGTGCAAGGAAGTAGCTTCTGGATCCTATTTTATATCATTTGAAAAGAAGATTTATTTATTTTTATTTTATGAATATATTTTGCTGGCATGTAGATACCTGTGGAGGCCAGAAGGAGGAGTTATATCTCCTAGAACTGGAGTTACAGATGGTTGCGAGCCACCAGGTGGGTGCTGGGAATAGAACCTGGGTCCTCTGCCAAAGCAGTTATGCACTCTTAACCTCTGAGCCGTCTCTCCGGTAGCCTGGTTCCTATTCTAAAGCCTTTCTTTTGGACATGTTGTTTCTGATCTGATCGAAGCCAGGGTACTTGAGTGGGACTGGAATTTGGGCTTGGAAGAGCTGTGTTTTGATGGCATCCCCATTCATTATTTGCCATGTGACCTTCAACAAGTGACACCCTGTGCTCACACTTTCAGTTCCCTCTTTCCTGAAAAGGAAGTGGCCGGGTCTGGGCTGCTACAGAGAGCAGAGAGGAGACTCACCAAGAAAATGGGCATGTGTTAGTGGCCCCAGGAAATCAGAGATACACGGGGGAAAAAGGTATAGCTAGCATGAATAGGAACTTATCCAGACACTGGAAATTAGAGAAATAAATTATTTGCTATTTTGGCATATACGTAAGTCTTGTGTTTTATAGCTTAGTGTTGGTTTTTATTTTGAGTTATATATGAGGGCATTGAGGACATTATCATCTTGGCATTTCTGGCCTTTACAGAGTGAGGTCCTTGTAGGCACGCTGCTAATCTTAGTTCCTCTTCCCTCCTCCCTAAATTACTGATTTTCATTTCTTATTATATTTTTATTGTTGTTTTGTTGTCTCAGAAGATTTTCTCCAAATGAAGTCATAATTGGAAATGCAGTATGCAGAATGTGTGAAAGTGGGGCTATCCCAATGAGGGAAAGGGGCCTGCCGATCTGAGCATGGGGATCTCCCTTCCGGAACCCCACACCGCCGAGAACTGACCTTAGTGCTCCGACCTAGAGGCCTCCTATTTCAATTGTTGAGTTGTACTTATTCTTTACAAAATGTTCTTTAAATGTTTACTTCAGCTGGTATATATGGGTTTTTGCCTGCATACCACATGTGTGCCTTCCACAAGAGGGTAACATAAATGGGGCGGTGGTGGCAGCGGCACATGCCTTTAATCCCAGCGCTTGGGAGGCAGAGAGAGGTGGATCTCTGTGAGTTCGAGGCCAGCCTGGTCAACTGAGCAAGTTCCATGACAGCCTCCAAAGCTACAGAGAAACCCTGTCTCAAAAAACAAAACAAAACAAAACCAACCAACCAACCAACCAACCAAACAAACAAACAAACAAAAGAGGGTATCAAAGTCCCTGGCACTGTAGTTACAGATGGTTGTGAGCTATCATGTGAGTGTTGGGAATTGAACTTGGGTCCTCTGCAAGAACAGCAAATGCTCTTAACCCCTGTGTGTCTCTCCAGGCCCTGAGTTATACGGATGCTTTAACAGACAAGGCACTGCCAATCTCTGTTCTGTGTGGCTGCATCTATGAACTACCCTAAATTCGATGTGGGTTGGAGGTTAACTGGGACTAGGCCTCCCTCACCCCCAGGGCCTTTCATCTCTTATAGACTTCATTAAGCCTCTGTTACTTTCTAGGAAGAAAAAAAGGGTTCAGGGAAATGATGGCAGAGAATTTTACTAGGCTGGTTATTGCAACGAAGTTGAATTCAAGGCCACAGGCTATTCATTGATGGTTTCCCCTCATTTCTTTCAAAATGAGAAGTCATTAGCAGTCTGTGAGTTTTCATAATAAGGGATCAAAGAATGTATCTATAGGATTAGATCATTTAATGGGTTGTTTTTGGTGGAGAAAAATCATAATGTATTAGATGAAAAAGTTCCCAGGGTTTTGGCATCAGTCATAACTGGTTAAAGATTCTAGACTGGGGTCAAGTCTCTGGAAAAGCGTTAGCTTGTTCCAGACGGGGATGTGTTACGGTGATCTTTGCACTCATATTTAAAGGAGAAAAAATTCAGGTCAAGTGCCAGAGATGTAGCCGGAGCTTATACAGATGGTAGTCAATGCTGGCTATGTATTTATGGGACAACACTAAGTCTAAGGGGATCACAGGCTTTCCAGGAAAGGTGAGAGAACCCACCCTGACCCTGAAATCTGAGTCTGAAGGTTGCTCAGCTCTGTTAAGATGTTTCCCACTGATTTCAGACCTGGGGAAAGGATTTAATTTCTAAGAACAGGGAACCAACAGTGAACAAATTGAGTGATTTCAGGAACTCTTGAGTTTCTACGCAGTGTTTACACAGAGCTCAAAGACTTGCCAGGTGGTAGTGGAAGACGCCGGACTCTAATTTGAGATGATTCAAATTGGGAGGCAGGACACCTGGGCTGTAGCTCAGCTCTGCGCCCGACTCGCCACACACGCGTCTCTCTGGGGACCGGAGGCTCTCCCACAGCCTTCCCCAGGGCCCCAGAGGCACTGTCCCCATGTTTAAATGCTGACCTCTGCACCGCACCCCCAGCCCCTTCCCCACTTGGCTCTGTAGCTCCCCTCTTTCCTCTACCCTCCTCCGTTCTCCTCCCACTTCTCTCCCGTCTCCTCATCACTCCCTTTTTCTTACTGGCTCATGCTCTGCCTGCTTCTCAGACTCTGACCCCAGCCCCTGCCTCTGTTTCTTCTGCCAACTTCCTCTTGGTGGGGTTTATTCAGACTAGAGGCCTTATTGATCACTGACATAGATGACACCTAGACCTCTTATCTGGGCTTCAGATGCCTGTATTTATTCACGTAGCAAGCATTAATCGAGGACCTACTACGTGTTAATCAGTACCTTAGACACTGAAGGTGTAACAGCGAGTGAGAGAGGGAAACCTGTGCCCATAAGCAGATCACATTCCGAGGTGTTTGTGAGTGCCTGCATATGGGGAAACGCGCAAAAGGAAGAGATGCATTTGTGTTCTCCTGGGTGTTCTGTGAACACTACTCAAGTGCAATACTCCATCCAGCAACAGTTACCTCCTTATCTGGACACTTTAACATTCATGCATTCATTCAGTCACGGTCATCGCTGCTAGCTACCCCCCATCTTCAAAATACATCTATTCAAAGCCCGAATCTTCTCAATGCTTATATCTTTATTGCTCCAGGTGGGTCCTAAGTAATTCTCAGGATTACTTGCTGGGCATTTTGAGTCTACTCCAAAGGCCTGTTGCCCAATCTTAGTGTGGCCCTCTTAGCTGTTAGGCAGTCTCTTTGCTCATATGGTTGAGATAATCTAGTGACTTCAGAGGCCCAGTCTGCTCCTCACCACAGCCTCTTAACAGGACACCTCCCTCCAGGTCAGGCCCTTTCTTCCAGGGAGACAGCTTTTTGGGTCTTCTTTATAAACAGAGGGCTACAGGGCCAGTTTGAAGGTTAGAAATCATCTGTGGCATGCGTTTGCCACGTGACAGGTGCTCAGTAAACAAAAGCTATTATTAAAGTGATTAATGATGGCAATCGCACACACCTGCAATCTCCCCTCTTCTAGCTCCAGGGGACTCCCTCCTCCTAGATGAAGCCAATCTAGATTTTTCTCCTTGCGCCTCTTCCTTTACCCACGAATCACCACACCTTCCTAAATCCCTAGTGTTCTTTTCCTAGTGTCTTGGGTCTCCTCCCCTTTCCAACCCTCTCATCGAACGATGCACTCCACTTCTTTGACTCTCTGCCCTCTACTGTCCTAGAGTCCGCACTCCGTGCAGCTTCCTTCTGGTGAAGTGCTACCGCTCCTGAGGCCAGCTGTCTCAGCACAGCCCAGAAGCTGCCTTAATCAGCGTGGCTGGGAGACCTATGCTTGACAGGAGTGTTCACAGCCCTCTGCCTCCTCTCCTTTGTATGTAGCATTTGACGCCGATCACTACGCCCTTCCCCTAATTTCAGCCTTCTCAGAGCTGAATTCCATGACACAGCACTCTTGTGGGTTTCATTCTCCCCCAACAGGTCTCCTCTCTCTCCTTTGGTTCCCTTCCCAGGCAAACTCTCCCTTCTCCTCCCGTCTTCTCCTCCCATGGAAACCTCCCATCTGTGCCTACCGATTTAGGACCCTTAGTTAGCCACACACACACACACACACACACACACACACACACACACACACACACACACTCACACACGGGGCGTGCACACATGCACGTCTTTCTCTCTAAAGCCTGCAGAGTTTTAACCCTTTGCTGTATAGCATCCCACATGCCGTTTCCAATCCACTCTCTGGAAGATGAATCCCATCCTTGCCCGGCCCCCATCTCACCCTACAGGATGCCTCGTTTAAACTGCTTCGACCAAAAACTCCAGCCAGTATTTCTCATCCGTGCACGCTTGCTCACTCACTCATCCTGTGCTCCTTGAGTGCCTGCTGTCTACCAGGCAGCGTGGAAGAGAATGAGGCATCCTCCAACGCTGCTTCTCACAGCCTTCAGTTAACTGGGGAGGTAGAAACTGCCTCGCAAAACACAAAGATTTGGTGACTGTAAGACACAGGCACAGGGGAGAATTCTGGACACTGCTCGCCTGACCTCCTCCCTCCCACTGCTTCAATGTCTTGGTTCATGGCTCTGTCTGTCCTCCGGCTCTCACCTGTCTCCCACGTGACCCTTGGGTTAATCTTCCTAAAAGGCGCATGTAAACCCCCGCCCTGCACTGACTCCCCACGGCCCTGTTAAACTCGCCACAGCCTGTGCTCTCACCTGCAAACCCCACAGTGGAGCACCTGCCAGAGTTCCCAGCCTCTCACCTCTTGTACACGGCTAAGACCCCCAACACATCACTTCTGCCTCCACCCGAGGCAGGGTGACTTGGGCGTACTACTC